TCCTGTCGACTCAACCCTGCTTTCCTGAACTGGGAAACTGCCACTGGTCCTCAGGAACTAGGTGCCCTTTCCACCAGAGCTAATCACCAGCTGATCTTTTACGCCTGAGGCCAGTTTCCCTGTCCACTCCCCACCTGCACTACCAACTCCTCTCCTTTCCTAGAATCCTTCAGTGAAGTGAGGGGCAGGGCAGGTCTGGCCCTCAGGTGAGCTGCAGGGGGAAGGGAAGGAAGCCTAGAGGAAAAGTGAAGTTCAGAGGGTTCCAGCCCAGGAAGCCTCCTCCCCACCGCTCCCACTTGAGGTGAGCCAGGACAGCAGCCATCTGGGACACTTGGAGTTAGGAAGCAATGCAAGGCCTACATTCAAATCCTGGCTCAGACATTACTCTATCTATGAGGCCATAAGCAAGTCATCGCTATGGGCTTCAGTTGCTTTGCTTGTAAAATTAAGGGGCTGGAATCAATGATCTCTAACATCCCTTCCAAGTCTAAATCGATGACACTATGAGTCTATTGGAAATGTCTGTAATTAGGGGGTGGGGGGGAAAGGGGAGGGAGAGCGACCAATGAGGACTCAGTTCTCGAGCATGAACAGATTTGCCCTTCCTGCTGGTTATGCCGAGCGGGTGAAGACACCCCCTGCCTGGGTCCTGTATGACACCGGGAACTTTGGGGGCTGGTCCTGTGCGATGACGAAGTCTTTACCTGGCTGCAGAGACAGATGACAATTCAGGAGATAAGGAGCCAGAGCTGAGCTAAATGCCCCACCATCTCTCTCTTTTCCTGACGCTGAAGGAAGCAAGAATTTCTGAGTCTCTGGGTCGGGGAGAGGGCGATCGCCTCCTGGACCATCAAGACTCCATGCATCGATGCTGAGTGAAGCGAGCAGAAGCAGGAGAACGTCGTACACACTAACAGCCACGTTGTGCGATGACTAACATTGATAGACTTAACCCTTCCTAGCAATGCAAGGATCGAAGACATCTCCAGAGGCCTCGTGATGGAAAATGCTGTCCACATCCAGAGAAAGCACTATGGAATTTGAACGCAGATCGAAGCGTACTATTGGCTATTTTTTTTCTCTTCTGTTGAGTTTTGTTTCCTCTTTCTGATGGTCCCTCCTATTGGTTCTAATTTTTACTTACAACATCACTAATCTGAAAATATGTTTAATAAGAATATATATAGCCTATATCAGATTGTGCACCATCTTGGGGAGGGTGGTGGGGAGGAAGGGGGAGAAAAATTTTAAACTCAAAAGCGTATGGAAGTGATTATTGATAAATCAAAATAAATTAATAAAAAATTAATTAAAAAAAGACTCCATGTGCCCTGAGCACACAGTTCCCTGGTTTCTTTTGTGTTTATTCTTTCCTGATTTTAGGTGATTGAGTATTCCGAGATGAGAACGCCCAGGTGTGGGATTGAGTGAGATGAGGAGACTGGACAGAGTCATCAGGAAAGGGAATGGAATAAGTATTTATATGGTGCCTACTATGTGGCAGGCACTGTGCTCTGTGCTTTTCAAATATTACCTCCTTTGATCTTCACAACAGCCCTTTGAGGTTAAGTGCCATTATTATTCTCCATTCTACAGTTGAAGAAACCGAGGCAGACAGAGGTTAAGTGAGTTGTCCAGTGTCACACAGCTAGCACATGTCTGAAACTGGATGTTAAGTTAGGTCTTCCTGACTCTAGGCCCAGTGCTCTAATCTATTGTTCCATCAGCTGCCTCATAATCAGATTCCAATGACAACTGAAGTCAGTGGCAGAGTTCATCAGACCGGTAGTGGGATACGACGGAGGAAGTGCCTATAGATAGCTATGGGAAAATAGTCACTGGAGGATGGCGATTGTGGCAGAGAGAAGTGCTGCCTGTAGACTCAACAGGGGTATTTATCAAAGGGTTCCATCTTAAGAACTTCACGAGACCCCACAAAAGGAGGGGCTTCCAGAGCCAGGGGTCTCAAGGTACCCTTTGGTTCCACACCTATGTGCTTGAAGTTTGAGCTGATTCTGCTTGGGGACCTTTTGTGTTCAAGGAGAGCATGTACCTTGTTTGAGGGAATTATGTTCCACCAACTGCTATAACTTTTCAATAAATCCATTTTGTAAAAGCTAATGAGGTTTAATCGATTGATTGATAATGAGAAGCACACTGGTAGGGGCTTAGAAGCTATAGCATTTAAAAGCTCAACCCCTTAGGGTTATCCCCAGAACCCTGAGAGAAATGCTAATCACTGCCCTCTGAAAATCTAAGCTGCTAGTTCAAGTGTGAGTTAAGGAAGTGACCCCAGAGGGGTTGCCACAATTCAACAAATATATATTAAATGAATCAAGAAAGATCTAGAGCAGGGGTAGGGAACCTGTAGCCTCAAAGACGCATGTGGCCCTCTAGGTCCTCAAGTGTGGCTCTTTGACGGAATGGATTCAGTCCTCAGCACTTGAGGACCTAGAGGGCCACATATGGCTTTGAGGCTGCAGGTTCCCCACTCCTGATTTAGGTTCTAGTCCCAACTCTGATATTTACTAGCTTTGAATCTCTGGGCAAGTCTCAGTTTCCTCATCTGAGCATCATGACACGGAGGAATTAAAAGCTCATTATCTGCTTCGGTGTGTTGAAGAATGGGGCAGGGGAGATCTCATCCCTGTGTCTACTTACAATCTCCAGGCAGTTCTTACTGTTTTACCCAGGAGGACTTTCTAGCCCTCTTCTTCTATAAACTCTCCATAAAGGCCAAGATGGCTCTATCCAAGGTCCTAGGATGACCACCTAGGAGGTCTTCCTCTGGCTCCTATTCCATAGGAGTTCCCCTGCATTGCTCAGGCTGTCCATCCCCTTCCGTGACAAACCTACCTCCTTTCCTGATGCTGTGCCATCTGAGTGATATCCCTTTGCCACTTCTGCAGATAAGACATCATTGGAAATATGCTTCAGCCTGCTAATATGCACCAAACATCTTTACATTGCTCTTTGCCCCCTCCCTTCTGTTTCTTCAGAAAGAAGCCATGGTAGTCTATGGTTTACAGCCTATGAGGTTTTTATTTCAGAGAGCAGCCTGGCATTGTCAAGGGATCCAGAGTTCCTCAAAGACAAGCCAGGCTGCTCTCTGACTGTTTCAATTTGAGGCCTAATTCATTGGCCACCAGCAGCGGCTGTCCTTGATACATAGAATGGAAGCTCCTGGAGACCAGGGACTTCTGCATTTTGGTTGTTACAGCCTTAGTGTTTAGCACAATGCTGGGCACATAGTAGGCAATTAATAAACACTGACTGATAATAATACATGACTGATAATAAATGGCAAATAATAAATGACTGACTATTGAGGAAGGATTGTAAAGTGGAAAGAATGCTGAATTTGGAGTCAGAAGATCTGTGCTGAAATCCTGCCTCTCCTGACAAGCAGGATGTTTTCAGAAAATAAGCTGGGAAGATTTACAAGAATTGATGCAGATTGAAGTGAACAGAACCAGGAGACTATCTGGTAGAGTAACACTAACATTGTAACAATGATCAACTGTGGATGACTTAGCTACTCTCAGTGATACAATGATCCAAGACAATTCTGAAGGACCCATGATGAAACATGCTATCTGCCTCCAGAGAAAGAACTGATGGAGTCTGAATGCAGATCAAAGCAGACTTTTTAAAAATTCATTTTTCTTGTGTTTTTTTTTCTTTTGGTCTGTGTTTTCTTTCCCAACATGACTACCATGGAAATATGTTTTACATGATTGTACATATATAACCTATATATCAAATGGCTTGCCTTCTTAATGAGGGGGGAGGGGAGGGAGAGAGAGAATTTAGAACGCAAACTTAAAAAAAAAGAATTTTAAAAATTGGTTTTGTATGTAACTGGAAAAATATGTACATTTTAAAAATCTTGCCTCTGTTACTTAACTATGTGTGATTGTGGGCAAGTAACAACCTTGGTTTCCTCCTCTGTAAAATGAGACTGGATGAATGTCATCGAAGGCCTCTCCCAGCTCTAAGTCTGATATAAGTATTAATATACTAATTCAACAGACAACCCTTCTAACTTCATGCCATGTGTAGACAATAGACATTTGTCTCCCATTTGGTTTTTTCCTGGACAGGTTTCCTTTTCTCGGCAATAATACTATGGGTGAGTTGTTTTTTTCCCTTTCTTTTGACACATCCCCTTCCTGAGACATCCTGTAAAATAATCCTTCTTTGCTTTCAAGGTTTCACCTTCAGCACAGAGTTCCTAAGGTGAACTTGATCTTGTCCAACTGCTCTTCCCGACTTTGATCGGTCAATCGACTGGCATTTATGAAATGCTGACTATGTGCTGGGCACTGTGCTCAGAGCTAGGGATTCAAAGAAAGGCCAAAAAAAATCTAGTCTCCACCCTCAGCACGCTCAGGTTTTATGGGGAAACAATACACAAATGACTGGAGGCAAACAAGCTAGAGACAGGATGTACTGAGGGCAATCTCAGTGGGAAGGCACTAGCTTTGAGAGGTGGGGAGAGGCTTCTTGTAGAAGGTGGGATTTTTGCTGGGACTTGAAGGGAGCCAGGGAGGCTCAGAGGGAAAAATGAGGCAGGAGAGTATTCCAGGCATAGAGGACCATGGGAGAAAGGTGATAGAAACGATAGGAATAACTTCTATTTGATCCTGTATGTAACAAGGAGAATGTATGGATGGGGGGGGTGACCTGGCCAAAAGTGTTTAGAAAAATCACTTTGGAGGCTAAACGGAAGATGGACTGGACGGGGGAGAGACTGAGGCAGGCAGACCATGCCCCAGCAGGGCTATAGCAATAGTCTAGGTGTGAGGTAATGAGGATCTGTACCAAGGTGGGAGCTACAACAGAAGAGAGGAGGGGTATATGTGAGAGATATGAAAATGGAATTGACAGAAATTGGCAACAGATTGGATATGGGGAAGAGGGGGAGAGTGAGAAGGTGAGGACAAGCTTGGGTGACTGGAAGGATGGTGGTTCCCTCAATAATAATAGGGAACTTAGGAAGAGGAGAGATTTGGGGGTAAAAGATAATGAATTCAGTTTTTGAATATGTCGATTTTAAAACAGGAAATTGGCGATACAAGCCTGGAAGTCAGGACAGAGGTCAGGGCTTGATAAATAGATCTGAGAATTTTCAGCATTGGGATAATCACTGAATCAGCGAGCAATAATGAGAATACCAGTGAAACAGTACAGAAGACAGTGCCTTGGAGAACACCCATGGTTCGAGGGCATAATATGGATGGTGATCCAGTAAGAGAGACTGAGGAGTAGACAAAAGGTATGAGGAGAACCAGGAGAAAGAACAGGGAGGACCCAGGTGAGGTGACAGCGTCACCTAAATCGGTAATGACGCAGTCAGCAAGGTCTGGTGATTGTCTCCATTCGTGTTCAGCGGGACATGAGTAAGAGCAAACGTTATGAATGACGGCGGAGATGCAAAGCTGGGTTGTTGCAGCGATGGGATGAAGTGGCAGTGGACGCCAGAGAGGAGTACAGTGTAGACTTCAAATGGATTATGGAGGGGTCAAGATGGAGGAGGGAGGAGAGCGCAGCTGATGTAGGGGTGCAGGGGTGGTAGAGAGAGTAGAGGCTATGGTGAGGGTGAAGAGTGGGAAGCAGGACTGCAAGGCAGATGGGGAGGTAGATTGTGAATCAGGTAAGAGAATTTACATGAACCTGGAAGCGATGTAAAGAATGAAGTATATACAAGATACACACAGAGAAAGGCTCTAGATTCTTAAGCTCTAATCCTATTGTCTCATAAAACACATCAGACATGTAGATGTTAGAACCTAAAAATGATGGTCCTACTATAGATGATGAAAGCAGATTATTATGGAGACTCTTTGAAAAACATCTATTTTTCTTTGGTTTTGTTTTCGTTTTTGCCTCTCTGTTGACTTCCTGATGGTTGCGCCCACCAATGTTTCGGGATGATTTGGCTTGGCTCTTGTGACACACTTTCTGCTGCGGACTTGTTTTCTCCACCGCCTCTTCCTGTTTTGTGAAGTGACGCGACTCATAATCTGTCATCTTCCTCTGGAACACTTTCCAAACATTCATACTCTAAACGGGTAGTGGTCTTGGCTGCTGCTTGGCAAGGAGAAACAAGCGTTTCTGGGCTAAGGCTATTGCTGGACTTGTACTTGGATGACTGCATTAGACAGATTAAACATAAAGGGAATGGGGTCTTCCGAGTTAATATCTTTGCATTTTCCTTTTCCCATTTTTTCAGTCAAAGGATCATTTGAATAGGTCAGGCTGGAGAGGCTGTAATCATAAGTGGTGCTTTCTCATCTTCATCTGTCACTTAACTTGGTGTTGGTTTTGACCTTTCCTCTAAGCAGTTGATGGTCTGATTTCACCCAGAAAGCTGATTCAGAAGCGACTCCCCTGGGAGTAACTGGTCGTCTCCTCTGAGTTAAGACGCTGGTATCTGTGTGTGATGATTGTGGCTCATCATGTCTCACGCCCTCCAGCTCTACGGGAGAAAGTATTTGTTCTCTATCACAAGCAAGAAGCTTCTTGGGAGCTTTCACTTTAGTCTGACTCACATTTCCTCCCCGTGCTCTTCATTGTCGTCCCCGGGCTAATTTTTGCATTGAAGTCGCCCAGCCTCAAAGGGCCAGTTGACTTGGTCCTGAGGGTGCCTTCTAGTTCTCAATCTGTGACCCTCACACTAGCCCCCTGGGTCCAGTACTAGAGATATGTGGCTAGTCTTAGCTGCCTTTCTTGGGCCCAGAGGAAAAGAGGGGAAGTCTATGCCAGGGAGATAAAGGAGGCTATTTTGAGCTCCCAGAGGGAAGGGAGTGGGGCAAGCTAAATGAGCTTGCAAGTTAGGCCTCCATCTAGTGGTGAGGCGACCTCTAAAAGGCGGGGAGCCCAGTGCCAACCCTGGGGGTGGGGGTGGGGGGCACAGACCTCACCAGCAAGCAGTCCAGGAGCCAGAAGCATATCTTCTGATCCTTTTCATCCCCAGGGAGATTAAATCCTCTCCATGTCAGTGGCCATCACTCCATCCACCATGACTTGGGTCTGCCACTCAAGGTCCATTTCAGCCTCCAGCCACAATGATCCCAAAGACAAACAGGAGGGGCATCTTTCTGCCAACATGAATGTCTTCCTCTGTTAATAGAAGGCAGCAGGGGGTTATAGTCCTGGAGGACCCTTCAGAGTCATCTAGCCCGACCGCCTCATGTTACAAAGGAGGAAGCTAAGGCTCAGAAAGCTAAAGTGATTCATCCAAGGCCACACAGAGAATATGTGGCTGGGTTAGGACTTGGACCTAGATCCTGGGACCCTGGCACCAGGCAGGGGGCTGTGGGGAAAGGAGCTTTGGGCTGGGAGTCTGCTGGCCTGGGTTCCAGCCCCATTTCTGCCACGGCCTCTCTGTGTGACCTGGAGGTTTAAATGTCCGATCTCTCCGGGCCTCTGTTCCCTCCTTTATAAAACCGGCATGGTAGCTATGACCTTGCCAACATCACAGGGACATTTGGGGAAGCTGAAAAATTATGACCATGAGTGTTACAGGGGGCCCAAGAGTCAGCCATACGGATGCCAGGGCCTGCCAAAATTTCACAAAGTGGTGCCTTCAGAGCAGCCCAGGGAGACAGTAGAATGTTAGCCCCACTTGGGGAAACTGAAACTCATCGAGGGGAGTGACATAATACCCCCCAAGGACTCCAAGGCCACTTCTTACAGGAAGCCATTCTTGATTTCTGCCCCACCCTCGATCATTTGTGCTCCCTACAGAAAGATTCCTCAGTATTTATTTTTCATCTAGTTATCTATGGGTTGTTTGCCCTAATGGACCACAAGATCCTTGAGGGTGGGGACTTTCCCCTTCTTATCTTTGCCTCCTTGGTGCCTAGCCCTGGCAGAGAGGAGGCAAATGTTTGCTGATTTGAATTAAAGAGTCACCTCCCTAGTAAGTGGAGAAGTAGAGACCAGAACCCAGGATCTGTGGCAGCATCAGGGGACCATAGATTTAGAGCTGGAGGTCAGCTAGGTGGAGGACTGGAGAGTGTGCTGGGACTGGAATCAGGAAGATCTGAGTTCAAATCTGGCCTCAGACACTTCCTAGCTATGTGACCCTGGGCAAGTCACTTCACCCTGTCTGCCTCAGTTTCCTCACTGGTAAAATAAGCCAGAGAAGGAAATGGCAAACCACTCCAGGATCTTTGCAGAGAAAACCCCAAATGGGATCACAAAGAGTCAGGTATGACTGAAAACATGACTGAAGAACGACAAATTTCTAAGGTCATGAAGATCATGCCAGTTTTACAGAGTGGGGAGCTGACACTCAGAGCATTCTAGCGACTTAGCCCCAGGCCATTGAGAAAAGCATAGAAGGGATGGGGCCAGAGCCCAGGCCTCTTAGCTTCCCCCCTCCCAAAGCCTTTACCACTGGAGAAAAGGATTCCTACGAGAGGGTCTGTGTTCAAATCCCGACTGCCATATACTTACTGTGTGACCTAGTCTGGTTCTCTCAGCACTGAGCGTCCTCTAGCTGAAACGTCAGCAAGCCGAGGTTTGACGCTGTCCAAAGGAGGCTGTGACACTCGGTGGACATTTCCAGGCTTCCTTCTGTTTTTGCGCCTTTTCCCATCTTAGACCCGCAGTATGTCAGAATTACGACTGTGAGTGACATATTGGCTCAGAATTCATACTCTTCTCTCAGGCCCTCTGGCTCTGGGTAAGGCCTCTTCTCCAGGACTCACAATCACCTCCTAGCTTCCTCCCCCAAGAAGGGAAGGGAAGGAAGAGGAAGAAAGAAGCAACCCACTAATTCAGGCCAGGGGCAGGTCACTGGCTAATAGAGGCTTGGCAATGTGTCCCTTCTGGGTTATGGGCTGTCCAAGGGCTGGCGCTTCCCTGGAGAGCCTGGCAGCACAAAATAAGGTGCCGTGAAAATAGGATAAGGCAAGAGTATCTCAGTAGAAGCAATATAGGGCAGCACATGTATGGGCCCTTCTATCTCCGACATTCCCTGTTCAAAGGGCCCTCCCATTCTTGATATTCTCTGTTCTAAGGGCCCTCCTAACCTTGACATTCCCTGTTCTAAGGGCCCTCCCATCTCTGACATTCCCTGTTCTAAGGGCCCTCCCATTCTTGACATTCTCTGTTCTAAGGGCCCTCCTAACCTTGACATTCCCTGTTCTAAGGGCCCTCCCATCTCTGACATTCCCTGTTCTAAGGGCCCTCCCATCTCTGACATTCCCTGTTCTAAGGGCCCTCCCAGCCTTGACATTCCTTGTCCTAAGATCCCATCCCATCTCAGGGCCTCAGTTTCCTCACTTAGCTGGGCTTTTCTGGGTCTTGGTCTGTAATCCTGACACATGACCTTTTTTGTGGGCTGGGGAGGCAGTTCTTATGGGTGCTGCCACCCCATCTGGGGAACTGGGCCCTTTCCCTCCTCTTCAGAACTTGGGTCTCTGGGGACCTTCTCCTGAACCAGGGGAGAAAGGCAGAGAGAGCATGACTCCAGCTGGCGTCCAGCCTTCAGGTCACATGTTGAGAGAGCCTCCTGGTCAGGGCCAAGCTGCTGTATTTATTTGGCAGTTACCCTTCCCCAGTAAAAAAAAATCATTCTAATTATTAGGATCATCATTGCCACTTTTAGTCTCCCCCTCCATGGTGAACTGACCAAACCCTGCACACAGGGGCTCCCTTCTGCCTGGGTAGGGCAAGGCCCTTTGGGGGCTGACAGCCAAGCATAATGAAGAGGACCTAGGAGGGGGCAGGGGTGCCAGGGAGAGGTTGATCCAGGGTAGAGCAGGGGAGTGCAGCCCTGGGTTTGGGGGAGCAAGGGAGGGTGGAATCACAGCCTTGACCTCAAGAGCCACATTTCTGAGCCTCTCCTATGACTCAGGTGGCCAGAGGTGATTCCAAAAGAATTAGGCAAGTCATTTAGTGGCCTTCTGGGTCTTCCCTAGGTTTCCCCAATCTCTGCTCCAGATTGGCTGACAGTCACGCCCTCCTGCCCCACCTACCATAAGCTGGTGAGAGGGAGGAGGGGGAAAGAGTGGAGGAGGAAGAGGAGAAGGGGGAGGGGGAGGGGAGGGGAAGAGAAAGAATGAGGAGGAGAAAGAGGAGGAGACCACGCAGCCTCAGCAGTACTAACCAACAGGTTATGCCAAAGACTGGTAGCTATCCGAAGGCCACTTGCCAATGCTTCTTGAATGGGCTGGGGGACCCTGGTTCACTTTGGTCAGTAGGATCAGAGAATGGCTGGCCATTTGGTGACCAACCCAGTTCCCTGCTCTACGGCCCACACAGCTGTGCCTGGGCTGACTTCCTGGCTTTCCCCACCATCTTCCCCCGTTATCAGTTAACAAGGGTTTTTTGGCCGGCAGCTGAGATGGCGGACAAGATAGGCACCAGGGCTGGAAGGGAAAGGTTAACGGGGCGGGGCGGGCTGGTCGATTATTGTCCTTTGTTCTTGAAGCGGACCAAGATGATGTCACTTTGTTGGGGTCAAGGTACCGCATGCCAATTGTGGCTGATCAGACAACACGAGCTTGGAAGGCTCCACCAGAGGTCAGGCACAAATAGTCTTTTCCATAGGGCGCAGACTTTGTGAAGGGCAGACCCTGTGCTTGCCACCCACAGTTAGGCCCTTTGGCCCCACTCGGCATTCATGCTGTACGTTCACAGAAGCCAGAAGTTCAGGGTTAGGAGGGACCTTTGTGGTCATGGAGCCCAAACCACATCCACTGTCCATCAGTCAATCACCAAGTGTCTCCCCTATTATGTGAGAGAGCGATGTGGCATGTGGTTAGAGAGATGGTCTCACACTCGGGAAGGACTGGGTTCAGTCGCTCCCTCTGACACCCTGGCTGTGTTGACCCTTCTAAACCTCAGTTTCCTCATCTGTAAAATGATGCCCTTATTTTGCAGATTTTTGGAATTTTTGGAATCTGTAAAATTTTCCATTTTTGGAAAACTTTTTTTTCCCCAAATAATAAGCATTTCTTTTCCTGCTTTCCCACCGTCCTCTGCTCCACTGAAAAAGAAGAAACGTCAAAGCTGTTTTAACAAATATGCAGTCAAGCAAAATCCGTTCCCACGTTGGCCTTGTCTGTAGATGTCTGTCTTCTTCTGCCTCTCTGGGTCGCCTCTGCCAAGAGGCGAGGAGCAGGCTTCAGAATCAGTCCTCGAGTACCGCGATGGGTCGCTGAACCCACCGGAGTTCTGAAGTCCTTTAAAGCTGTTTGTCTTTGTAACGTTGTTGCCATTGTACACGTTGTTTGCCTGGTTCTGCCCCCGTCAGTGTGCATCAGTTCACACGAGTCTTCCCAGGTTTCTCCGAAGCTGTCCCTTTCATCATTTCTTATGATGCATCATATTCCATGACATTAACATACCATCACTGGGTCAACCTTCCTCACTGGGTAGGTGCCCCCTCATTTCCAGTTCTTTGCTACAACTGCCCCCAACACACACACACACACACAAAACTGTCATAAATATTTTTTTGTATGAAAGGATCCTTTTCCTCTTTCTTTGACCTCTCTAGGGTTTAGGCCTGTTGGTGTGCTATTCCTGAATCAAAGGGTGTATGCACAAGTTTATAGCTCCAGATTGCTTTCTGGGGCACAGCTCCGGCAATAATAACAGTTTCTAACATTTTATTAAGCCCCTACTGCACGCCAGGCCCTGTGTTAAGCACTTTACCAACATTATCACGTTTGAACCTCAGAGGTGGGTGCTGCTATTATTCTCAAGTTACAGTTGAAGAAACTGAGGCAGAAGGGAAATGATTTGCCCAAGGAATATGACAATATATTAATGGACCTGTTTTCCCAGAACCTCTCCAACAGTCATTTTCCTTAAAAAAAAAATCGCTGCCAATCTGAAGGGTGTGAGGTATATCCACCTCCTTCTTAAACAGTGACCTCCCAGTGACTGAATCCAAACCCCCTGATATGGTCTGACTGGGAAAGAATACATTAGCCTCTGTCCTATTCCTGGGGGCTCTGCCTCTCTCTATCCAGGTTACCTCTCGATAAGCCGGACCACAGAGGAAGCAGGGAGGGCAGTGCCACCCTGGCAAACAAGCTCTGTGGGGCCACATACACACACACACACCAGGCACATGAGGACAGCCGCCTTTGATCCAGTGACCCTCCTGGGCTTGCCCAACCTGCTTCGGCATAACCATTTACCCAGCCCAGCCAATAGCAGCCTCCAAGTCTAAGCTAGTCCCGAGGGTCAAGCCAATGAGGCCAGCAGTTCTGGGGAAGGGGGCAGGCCTGCTGGGGAGTGGTGCTGGAGGTTTCCACTTGTTTGGGGGCCTGAGGAGAGGCAAAGTGTCAGGCCAGTCTATCATAAAAGGAGGGCTGCAAAGATTCAGCTGACCGGCCTGTGCTCTTTGGATGGACAGGTCCACAGCTGCATCTGCTTATGGACATCTGACTTCACCTTACCTGCCCTGTACCCTGCCTCCCTCCCGCTGCCCTTCCCATGCTCCACCCCCAACATGCTCAGGAAGCCATTAGGAGGTGGCTCACATGCCCTACCTTGAACCTTGGCCACTGTCGGGATGTTGACCTGACCGTATGGACCAGCGCCTTTCTGATCGAGGTCAGTCACCTAGGCACCCAGCTAAGTGATCGCTTCCAAATTAGAAATGGGTAGTCCAGGCCCCGGGGCCAACATAGCAGGTGACCAGGCCCCACTGGCTGAGCCGTAAAATAGTAAAAATAATGCTGCGCTCTAGCCTTCGCGCACCAGTGAGGTAGGAGACTCTGGGTGCAGAAAGTTGTACACGCTGTCAGCCCTGTTCCCTGGGGAAGCTGGCGCTGCCCAGCTGCTCTTCTTTGTTCCCGAGAGGGTCTGTGTGTGTGTGTGCGTGCACGTGTGTATGTGTGTACATATGTGGATAGGTATGTGTTTATAGATACGTGTGTGCACACACCTCTATACACACGTACATATGGTGTGTGTTTCATAGATATCATATGGACCTACATAGGTACCGTTTTGATATAAAGCCAATGATGGTGACGACCAGATAATCTCAGGTCCTTTCCAGTTCTAGATATGGGGAGTCAGGCCATCGCTAAGTATTTATGAAGCGCATACTACGTGCCAAGCTCTGATCTTTCAGCGCTGATCAGCCACCCAGGCCTCCAAACACGGGGTAGAAGTTTCAGAGGGTTAGTGATTGTGAGGAGGAAGGTGGGTGGAAGTCAGCTGTGGGAGGTTCCATTCAATCACTTTTTTTTTAAAGGCAGTTGGGGTTAAGTGACTTGCCTAGGGTCACACAGCTAGTAAATATCAAGTGTTTGGTCTGAGGCCGGATTTGTACTCAGGTCCTCCTGACTCCAGGGCTCCATCCACTGTGCCACCTAGCTGCCCCTTTAATCACATTTATGACACATCTACTGTGTATGAGGCACCATGCCTGTGAAGTGGCATAAATCATGCAAGACCGTGTGACTGACAAAGCAGGCAGATGTCCCCGCCTCGAACATGAGTGAGGGCTGAGCGAGAGATGTGCCAGTGCATACCACAAGCTCCTACTATGCGTAGCCCTGGAAGAGGTCCTAGAGGAAGAGAAGCCGGACAAAAACAAACCCTGCTCCTAGTACTCCCTCCTGGTATTGACAGAGGAAAAGGACAGCTTCCAGGCCATTGGCTAAACCCAGCACAGGAGATTTACGGAAAACAGCAGCCCAGTGTTGCTCGGGTTAGAGGGTGTTGAGGTGACAGTGTACACGCTGGCAGGGATCAGCCTTGGAGGAGATCGGAGCCTTCGGAGTACTGGAGTACAAAGAAGATGAGACTCTGGCCTACTTACCACCGGGATGTTTTGAAAGTGCAGCCAGCCCCACCTTCCAAAGTTCCAGTTTGTTCATCACCACTGAGTGCCAACGCTCCAGCTTGCCCCTTGGACTCCTCCTTTGCCTTGTTCAGTCACAGGTCTTGTTCAGTCACAGACCATTAGGCCCGGAATGGACCCTAGAGATCCTAGTCCAACCTTGTCATTTTACAGATGTGGAAACTGAGGCCCAGAGAGCAGAGGGGGCCTGTCCAGGGTCACACAGTGAGCAAGGGTCAGGACGCCTCCAAGCCTGGTGCCGTGTCTCATCCTAAGCCCTAACTATAGGTTTCTCCTGAAGCTCAAATATTATATAACATATGTAATAATAATTAATAATCCTAACATTTCCATATCATATGGTTTGCAAAGCTCTTTAACTTATGTTATTTCATGTGATCCCCATAACAACCCTGGGAGCTATTCCATCAGTCAATTAGCTAACACACACTTATTAAGTGCCTACTATTTGCCTTCGCACTTAGCACACTGTGCTAAGCAGTAATGATACCCCGTGGAAAGATAGTCACTGCTCCCAAGGACCTCACAATCTTTGTTTTCATTTTTCATTTTTATTTTTAAAAAATAATTAATGCATTTATTTTGTTTTCAACATTCACTTCCCTAAGATTTTGAGTTTTGGATTTTCTCCCCCTCCCTCTTCTCTCCCCTCCCCAAGATGGTAAGGAGCTCACAATCTAAGCAACAGGATTACACACAAACAAGCCATGGGGCAGGTAGACTGAAGACAAGCCATAGAGGGGAGGTACCAGAATTAAGAGGGGCTGGGGAAGGCTTCCTGGACAAGGTGGGATTTCACTGGGACTTGAAGGAAGCAGGGAAGCCAGGAGGCAGAGTGACAAGGGAGGGCATCCCAGGTGTGTGGGGGGGTGGCCAGAGACAACGCCTGGAGGTGGGAGATGGAGTGTGTGTTTGAGGAGTAGCGAGAGGACGGGTCACCGGAGGGAAGAGTTTTCCTGCCCGTATGGTTGGGTGGAGGGAGGGTAAGAAGACTGGAAGGGGGGGGTAGGGTATGAAAGGCCTTGAACACCAAACATAGGGAGCCCCTAGAGGTTACTGAGTGGGGGCACGACATGGTCACACTTGGACGGTCAAGTGGAGAATGGACTGGAGTAGGGAGAGACTTGTGGCTAGGAGGCCACTTAACAGTTGTGGAAATTGAGGCTGAGAACGGTTCTGTGACATACCCAGCGTCACACAGAAAATATCTGAGGCAACATTTGAACTCAGGCCCTCCTGACTCCAAGTGCACCACCTCACAGCCCTGTCACAAACTGCTTCAGGTGTTATTACTTCCATTTTACAGATTAAAAAACAAACAATCTGAGAGGAAGCAGTAGCAGCCATGAGAAGGGAACCTGGAGTCCAGAACGACCTGGTTTTCAGTTCCACCTTGGGCACTAATTTCCCGATCCTGGGTAAATCACCCAACCGCTCTGAACTTCAGTTTCTTCATCTATGAAATCCGTAACAGGGAGTACCTGCCCGACGAGGCCGTCGTGGGCTCAACCGGGAGAATCACGAACCTGAAAGTCTGGCTGTTGTCACTCTTGTCTGTTGTCATTGCCCTTCTTTCCGGCTTCCTTGGCTTCACGTGTCCCTACTCAAGGTGAAGGTGATCAAGCGGAACGTCCATCCCTTCCCTCGGAGCGAAGGAGACACAGTTTTCTCTGGGGTGAGCTCTGGAGCCAGCCCTCACGTGGGGTTTGAAGCAAAGCCAGGCGGAGAGAGCTGGAGAAAGAAAAGGGCTCTTGTCTGAAAGCACTTCCCGTTTCCCCAGGCTGTCTGTGCCCTGGCTCCACCGTGCCAACGGGAGCTGGGTCGGGCAGCTGGGACTGAGGGCAAACAGAGGCAGAGAGAACGCCGCTTGAATGCCGGGCTTGTGCCCGGGTGAGCCCAGCTGGAAGGGGCGGAGAAAGCAGAACCCCAGGGAGGCTCAGCAAGCTTGGCCTGGGGCCATCTGAAATTCACCGGGCAACAGAACCCCGCCAAAGCCCTCCCCCCCATTTGAAGGCCAAGAAAATGGTGGGACTTACCCATGGCCCCACAGGACATTAGTAACACAGCTGGGAGCAGAGCCCAGGCCTCCTGAACCCGGGTCTAGAGTGGTTTGGGTGCCCTTTCTCCCTCTTTGGAGCTCCTCCTATCAAAGATCAGTCAAAGCTTCACAGGCTACTCTACAGGGGTCATCTGTCCACTCACCCCTGGCCTGGGCAAGGGGCTAACGCCCATATCCACAGCTGGCCTAGACATAGGCAAAGTAGGGGGTTGCCCATAGCCTCAGGTTTAAATAGCCCAAAGAGGGGCCCAATCTCCCCCTGCTTCCTGAAGTTCTGACTCCTCAGCCTAATTTCCTCCAGAAGCCCCTGCCATGTTCGCACAGAAGAACTTCAAAGGTTTGTGGCTGTGATTGGATAGGGTACTGGACGGGGGACCAGGACGGCCAGGGGTTCAAATCCTGCATTAGACAAGCCCTTTAAACTCTCTCAGCCTCAGTGTCCCCATCTGTGAGACACGAATAATGATAATTGCTCCATTTTGCGGCCTCCCAACTTTGCTCCTGAGGTTCTGCTTGAAACCTCCATTTTGGGGAAGAGTCTGGAGCAGCCATCCCTGACTCTTCAGATTTGGTGACATCCCCACCTCCTCATTTATGCCTCCTCCCTGCCCCCCAGCTCTGGGGCTCCTTTTACGGACTGGGGTCCCATCTGGCTTCGACTGCTGGTGAAGCCGCAGCCCAGAAGGGAGAATGACATGACATGAAAGTAGAGACCTAGGGGCATCGAGGTTGCGCAGTGGATAGGGCACTCACTGGTCCCAGATTCAGGAAGACCTGAGTTCAAATCTGGCCTCAGACACTTCACCCCATTGCTTCGCAAAAAAAGAAAAAAAAAAGGTAGAGACCTGACCGGCTCTGCCCCTGCCCCCTGAGGACCGTGGGACATTTCCCTCAGCTGGAGCTCAGACCTTCTCTCCGCATTGTCTCCCCCATTAGAGCTGAGCTCCTTGAGGGCAGGGGCTGGCCCCTGCTACACGCACAGGTGAGCACACGCTTTGCACAGACTAAGTGCATCCTCAAGGGTCATTCACTCACGCACTCATTCATTCATTTGTTCACTCATTCATTCATTCACTCATTCATTCATGCCTTCATTCCCTGCTCCCAGGTCTCTTTCCCACTGCAGCCCCCATCCCCTCTAGCTCTGCGTCTGCCTCTGTTGGGCTCTGACAACCCTTCCACTGCCTCTCAAGCAGGACTCAGAAATCAGGCAGCAGCCCCCTGGCCTCTGTGCTGAGGGGCCCCAGCCCCTGCACAGGAAGTGAGGCAACCCTCCCCTGCTTTCTGGGAGATCTCAGCAGCCAAGGTACACATTCTAGGAATAAGGCAGGGGCTCCCCCGGGCCCTAGGATGGGCTGTCCTGTTCTTTTCCTTCCCTTCTGTTCTCTGCAGGAGTCTGGAATGGCCCCCTGTCTGCTCCCCAACCCCTGGGCCTGTTCCCTCGGCCCCTCCCCCAGAGCTCCCTTCCTAGGCAGTGCCTCTCCCTCCTGCCCCCCCCCCATGCTCAGACCTCCTTCCTTTTCCAGCCTCCCCCTACCCTCACCCGCAAGAAGGAGGCCCAGAGTGTCCAGGGCTGAGGAGGGGGCAGGGGAGGAGCTGGAGAGTGAGAGGGGAGGCCCTCCTGCCTCCCCTCTGTCCCATCTGAGTCTAGGAGCATAAATTCACCTGGGAAGGGAGCAGACCTCCTCTGCATTTGACAGATGTGGAAACCAAGACCCGGAGAGGGAAAAGGCTGTGCCCAGGCTCCGGCCCCGGGGTTAGAGGGGGCCAGTTGGCCCATTTTACAGACTGCATAGGAGGAATTGGAACCTAGATCCTTCATTTCCAGCTCTAGTATTTTTTCACTGTCCCTGGGTACAGCAGCTGGCGGCATTAGGACCAAGCTGCCACTCAGTCAGTGAACAAGTGTGTATTAAGCTCCTACTATGTGCCTGCCACTTCCCCCAGCCCTTCTGCCCCAGGTGTGTAAGACATTTGTGCATGCGCATGCACTCACGCATGCACACACACAGATGTTTGTGCCTTTCTCTTTCTAAAACTCTCCCAGCCCTCCCTGCCCTGCCGTCATCCTGTGCCTAAGCAGCTTCCCTAGGATTTAGGATTGTGTCACTGGACAGAGAAGGCTGGGGAGACTCAGAGCAGGCTTGCGACCTTTGCCCCAAGGTCACTCTGAGAGTGAGCTGCCTGCAGCCCCCTTAGGATGCTTCCCCATTCCCTTTGCAGCCCTTCCCTAGCCAAGGTGAATGCCCTGGCACACGCATGCAGGAGGGCATGCGCGTGCACACACACACACACACACACACACACACACACACACACACACACACACATATATATATACATACAGAGTTGGGAGGTCACCGGAGGGACTGAGGGACAGTGGCCTCAGACCTTGCCCGTCCTCCTGGCAGCAGATTGCCCTTCTCCAAAGGAGAGGCTGGGAGGTGCTCACCATCTCCTGGAGATAATTGGTAAAATCCAGCCCAGCCCCAACTGTCTCTGGATTCAAGGGCTGAGGCGTCTGCAGGGAGGTAGAGTCAGTACAGGACATAGAGGCCCCCGGGAAGAAAGCACAGCCTCTTCTGGTCACCTGTAACAAATGTGTGCCTCTGTGTGTGTGTGTGCCTCTGTGTGTGTGTGTGTGTGTGTGTGTGTGTGTGTGTGTGTGTGTGTGTGTATGTCTGTTTGTCAGGCAGAGAGTAGGAAAAGGGGAGACTAAGAAGAAACCAAGGCTGCCACGAGTGCTACAGAAGTATCTCCGCGGGCAGAAGGCCACAGAGCTGGTTACCTGCAGACAACCAGCAAGCGTGTCTTAAGCGTCCAAGGCCCCAAAATCGTGAATTTAATGTGGGAAGGGACTTCAGAGGCCATCATTTTACAGTGAGGACACTGAGGTTCAGGAAGGTGGAGGGGCTGACCGCCCGGCATTGTGCCAGGCGCTCCAAAGGCAAAGATGAAGCCTCTCTGTCCTCAAGGAGTCAGGGCCAGGGAGGGAGGCAGGAAAACTGCACATGCGTAGGTGGGCACGCAGTATGAACAAGAAAGGGCAATGGAAGATCATTTCAGGGAGGCAGGAGCGGCCCCAAATTGTCCTTGGGCTCTTCCATGAGCCCTGATCTTCCCTGCCTGGCGCTCTTATCTTTCCCTTCAAACCCTCTCTCTTCCCAGCATTCCAATTACTGCTCAGGGCACCACCCCCATCCCGGTCCTACCGGCCCGACTTGTGCCTTTGCCCTTGGGCCTCTTCCCAAGTACAGTAAGAAGGACATCTTCGGTGGAACAGCTGGACCAGGAGAGACATTGAGACCTTACCTTCATGGTGGGGGCACCATTAAGAAAAAGAGCCCCCAGGCCTGTTGTGTGAGTTGTCCTGGTTACCTATGTGCCTTGCCCCTGTGCCTTTCTACTACTGCATGAGCCCATTCTTCCCACTGAGGCTGTGCATATTGGTGGGAGACAGCACCCCAACTTGTACAATGCCATTTCAATAAATGCCTTTGCTTTGAGCTAATTGCGTTACCTGACTTAACTGTTCTACATAAGGCCACTGGTGGGGGCTCACAAACTAGCGTTTTCACAGTGTGAACTCATGGTATACTTTGAACCTAGGGTAGTCATCCCCCAGGGAACCCAACCTGTGAGTGTGACTTAGGGACTGCCCTACAGGAGATGCTACAGACGTTAATACAAAATACGTGCAAAGTAAATACAAGGTAATTCTTGGTGGTGTGGAACACTACCGGTTAGGGCAGAGGTGCTTCAGCAAAGTCCTCACATCGGATGGAGAAGAAAGCAGTCACCCTCTCCTTCACTTCAGCAGAGCCCCATCCACTTTACCAAACCCATTCATGTTCACATCTTGTTGTATCTGCCAGGGCCCCTGGGAGCTGGGCAGGGCAGAAATGATAATGCTGATTTTGCAGAGGAGAGGGAGTCAGACCGACTCATCATCAAAAGCCCTGGGATTTTCTTGCAGATGGATGTCTCTAGGAGCCTGGGGAGAGTGTCCCCAGCCACTCCTCCCTGTTTCCCAAACATTGTCAGGAGTTGTCCCGGGCACAGACCTGGTTTAGCTGGTCACCGCGTCCGGAAGGCAAAAGATTTGAGTGCCTCTGTCTTCTGCTGTGGTCAGGTAACGGACAACAGGAAGGGCTTTCTGTGTGCTGGACAGGGAGGGCCCTGAAGTCCTGCCATACCAGGAGCAGTTCAGTTAAATCCAAGAAGCATGTATTAAGCACCAACTATGTGCCAGACAAAAATGCAAACAGTCCCTGCCCTCAAGGAGCTTACATTCTACTGGGGAAGGGGAAACAAAATGTATACAGATAAGTAAATAGAAGATGTGTGCACAGCCAATCCAAAGCAATTGCAGGGATGTGGAGAGTGGAAAGGGGGGGAGGACTTAGCACCTACTCTGTGGCAGGCACAGGGCTGTGCTGGGGATACACAGCACCAGCAAAGACCGTCCCTGCCCTCAAGGAACTGACAGTCTAGTGGAAGAGACAATGTGAAAACAACAGTACAGACAAGATATGGGGCAGCTAGGTGGTGCAGTGGGCAGAGTGCCAGGCTTGAAGTTAGGAAGATTCGTATGCCTGAGTTCAAATCTGGGCTTGGATACGTGTGACCCTTGGCAAGCCCTGTTTGCCTCAGTTTCCTCATCTGTAAAATGAGCTGGAGAAGGAAATGGCAAACCAGTGGGGTCATGGAGAGTCGGACAGGATGGAAATGACTGAACCACAGCAAATAAGAGAGATAAAGAATAAAGTGGGGGTAGTCTCTGAGGGAAGGCGCTAAGATTAAAGAGCGACTAGAAGAGGCTTCTTGTGGAAGACGGAATTTTTGGCTGGAATGTGGAGGAAGCCAGGACAAAACTTTTATGAAGCGCTTACCATGCTAATCACCTGAGATGCAAAACCAGGACAAGAGGACATCTCCTGCCCTCAGAGAGCTTCCCTTCTAATGGGGGAAGACAGCATAGAGAGGAGCTGGGTGGGGAGGTGGAGCAGCCCTGAAAGGGAGAGAAAAGTGGGGTGAACCAGTGGCTGGGGGTCCCTGACTCCGTGGGCGCCCCAACGCCTCTCCCTTTAAAGCCAGTGAGTGAAAGAGTCCAAGAAATCTGCTAAGATGGAGTAGCCAATCAAAGAACCTGTCCTATCAGGCATGGAATGTCTACACCTGCTTAGCCATCCCCCCAAGGCTCTTCCAGGAATCTGGATTCTCAGCCCCTTCCACCCTGGGCATGAATCTCTCCCCATTACATCCATATTTGTTTAACTTAATTAAAATGCTGTTTTGTCACATCTCCCAAAACTCCCAAGCACAGGCTTGGATGTATAATAGATGTGCAATAAATACTTACTAATTATGTAATATCTGTCTTGATTCCACTATGTGCCAAGCAGTTAAATAGAGTATTTGAGCTATAACCAGGCTTGGGAGACTGAAGCTTTGCCACAGGGTGCCAAAATTGGGAGGGTGATTATATTCCTTTGGCAGATAGGAACAACCGAGCTTAGCGCCTGCCTAGTTGGCAAGAATTCCTGGTAGAATCCCAAGTGGGCTCCTTCCGGCTCTCCCTGCCCACCCCTCAGAAGATGTCCATCTAGCACCATTTCCCTCTCCTATAGCACAGAATCCAGGGCTTCTTCCCCTCCGGGGTCCTGGGCCCCAAAGTCTTCCCTCTGAAGGAACTTTTCTCTGCCCTGGGATGTCTTTGTGGGATTGCAGCAGGATAAGAATAATTCCCAATGTGTCTGCCTGCCTTCTTTGTTCTTAAGGTCTTGCCAAAGTCAGCTTTCCAGCATTTAGTATTTCAACAGGGCAGATGGTCTCTCTCCCTCAGGTATCCACCCCCGCACCCCTTGCTGGAGAAGCTGCTGTGGCTCCCTAGTGCCCCAGGGGCTAAAGCGTTCTCCCCCTAAAGCCCTTCCCAATCCCGATGATTATGGGGACTTTGGGCATTCAACCTTCCCATCCAGGATATTCCATCACTTGCCTGGCATTCATTTTAAAAAATGTCATTTGTTCTCAATGAACAAAGTTTCAATGATCAAAAATCTAATTTCTTTCTCATCTATCACCAAAAAGGGAAAAAAAACCCCCAAACCTTTGTAATAAATATGTCAAACACAACAAATCCCTGTGTCCTGCCTCCTGGCCTTTGCCCCTTGCTTATCAGGCAGCCACAAGGAAATGTCTTCAAATAAAAACCAGGCCACTTCCCCTTGGGTTTTCTGGGGGGTCCAAGGGCACATCTCGGGGTGGTTCCGGGTTGGGCTGTTGACCTTTGTCATACAAAGCCTCTTTGGCCTGGAAGCCCCGGGAGCAAATGGGCAGCCAGGCTCCGAGAGGTTTCTGAGACTCTGTGTAGTAACTTCCAGCCTGCCGGGTGGCTTTGGGGCCCTTCGATGCCTTAGTCTCCCTCCAGCCTTGTACCTCAGTACCCTTTCAGAAAACACTTCAGGAAATTTAGAGAATAGGCCACAACCATCTCCCATCCCCCCTAATTAGGATGATGTAGAAGACACAGTGCTGGATTTGGAATCGGGAAGACCTGAATTCAAATTCAGCCTAGTTGTGTGACCCTGGACAA